AATTACTTTGTGTCTTAAGTAAAAAATAATTCTAATCTTATTCTAAATTGATTTATATAAAAAAATATAATTTGAAATAATTGTCAATTTGGTTTCTTTTCTCAGCATCTAGCCCATATATTTTAGAATATATTTATTACTCACCCAAAATGAATTTTACTCCCTATAATAAAATTCAAAAAATATTAATATTTCAAAATTTTACTAATATAATCCCATCATATAATATAAACAAAAAATAGTTATTTTTTAAATTTTATACAAATATTTCTTAACAACTACCAAACGCAAAAATACCGTTCCTGATGGATCGTCGGTACTGTTCCTGATAGGGTGGGGAAAAAAATCGATCTACATACTGTTTCTGATAGGGTTCTAAAAAAGGCCTCCAAAATGTTATACTACTATAATGGAAAAAGTTAGAATTAGGGTTCGTTTTTGAACCCTATCAGGAACAGTACTCAAATAAACTCCATCAAGATCGGTATTGCCGATCCATCAGGAATAGTATTTTTGCACCAAACCAATCTTAATAAATTTTCTTTTAGTTTTCATTCTACATATTTATAAAAAAATTTATCAAATTTGATTCTGTATTCATTGAGAAACCATCAACCATCACTAGAAGTTTAAAAACAATTAAATTTTAAAAAGAATCATAGTATAGCTAACCAAAATCGAAAAAACATCGGGATGATCGTCACGTGGGGGATTTTGAGTGTGAACTGCGTAACTTTTTCGTGTTCGGACTGAATCTTTTTTTTTTATTTTTCGATAATATCAAATCAAACTCCACTCTCGAAAATTTAAACCGTTTTCAACTTGTTCACCCACTTTCAGATTATATGGGTGATCCGAGTGATGATTTTGCATCCGGTTCGGAACTCTAAACAGGAAAAAGTTTGTTTCTAATCAATATTTGATAAAACGGATAAAAAGCAATAGATTAAGGTCAGAAATAGTTGGTTTGTTTTATTATAAGAAATCAAGAAACTATAATCAAATAATAACTATCAATTTAATAATGATCGCACAAAGTTTATTGCTTTATCAATTAGTGAACCCTCAATCTTAGATTTTTATTCACTTTTTTCTTATGGTCATATATTTCCTTCGTTCTGGTTTAGGAAACTTTTCCAAACTATATCTCAACATTACTCTTGGCATCTTGTGCGCGTGTTGATTCAAAAACTTAACAAGGGTTTGCTTTGACTTCTACTAGGTTATGAATACAATAAGTAATAGATTCATGGAGATTGCATAAATAAAATGTAAAGGACACGTTACCTTTCCCATCTCCCTTAATGTCCATCCTGTTGCTTTATGTATCAAATCCTCTGTGTCATTTAAAAACATCTCTGCCAGTTTCAGTGTATCATCATATTCACCATTATTAATAAAACATTGTGTAGATACTATTGCAATCCTTCTGTCCCAAAGTCGTTTGGATACTGCTAGTTTCTCATATAACCATAGTTTTTTAATATCAGGTTTATCTTTTAGGAAATCTCCAACGATCTGGCTTGCTGACGAATCAACCAAGTCCCAGTTATTAACTCCTACTCGCATTTGTTCGATAAAAAATCTAAAAATTTCCATAAGATCTGCTGGATCTTGAGTATTTTTAAATTTTGTCACTATATTTATAACTGCTAATAGTCTTTCCTCGTGATATTTTGACTGAATAAGCTCTTTTAAAATTGAATACGACAAAAAACCCAGGCTTTTGGATATAGTGCGCACATCAGGTACTTTCACGCCCATTAAAATATCGCCTTCTCCATATTCCACCACACGCAAGTATTTTGTTAGAATGGTAGCTCTTTGCTTGGAAGCTTTGGACTGAAGTTGTTCATGAATTTCAGATAATATTTCTTTTGATTTTAACTTTGTTGACACGTCTGGCATTAAAGAAGAGTTAGATATTGAACGCGCGCGTTTAGTGAGCTTCGGTGCTACCTCAATTGCTGTTCGTTTCAAAGTATTTGCTGTTGGATCTTGACCATTTTGTTGTATAAGTCTGCTACTTCTCGTCTCGACCATATTAATATTCTAGGTTTCGTATCGTTATTATCAGTCAGCCGTGATGTCGTGCAGATCATTTTTAAGGGTAGGATGTCCGTAGATCATTTTTCATATGATCTACGTGGTATATTAAAATTTTACATAGACAGCAAAAATTCGCCACTGATA